GTGAAATGATAATGCTGAAAAGATGTGAGAAGATAGCTGGACAGGTACAGGTAAGATATACAGCCTGAGATACGTAACACCTCCAGGTGTGAGCTCAAGTTGCTGCAGTCTTCTGTCATTGTCATAACTTATGAATACAATATTGGGCCTAGGAAAAAAAATGTTGTGTTTTCTGTTTTAGTCATGAAAAAGAACCGTTGGTAGGTAGGGATTATCTTTTTTTTATGATGATGATGGCAATCTCTAGTGATCCAACTTATACAAGACAGTTTAACAAAGTTTAAGTTGCACAGAACACATATATTTCTTGCACGAGAACACATATATTTCTTATAGTTTCAATGTCAATGTTGGAAAACCGATTGTACAAGATTTCATGACTCAGGTGTCAGATCGTGGAGCTAGAAAAGGTCCATCAGCTCGAAAAATGTATGTCCCTTGCAGAGATCCACACAAAAAAAGCTAGGGTCGGCAGGTTTTTCTAGGGTCAGTTGGAAAACATTTTTTCCTGGGTCTTGAATAGATCCTGAACTTCCCTGAAAATAGTGATACAACTTTGTTTCCACTCTGCAGTACTTTGTTTAACATCAGTGTTTATTTATTCAGATCATCATTCGCTGTTGTTGTTTATATAACAAGTATGATTGGATCTGAATCATAATGGAATTTGTTTTATCAGATAAGGTTAAAAGTAAACAATAACATCTGCTCCCCAATTAACTTTATAATCTGTTAATCATTCATTTAATGACAGGTAATCACACTAATTAAAATAATCCAACAGTAGAATTATCCATAAGTATACAAATCAACCGCGACAGGGGCGACATCGTCTACCAGATACCTTTGACCCAGTGTTGACGTCACACTACAGAGAAGCCATGTGACAAGCCTGACTGGGTCAGTCTGCTGAGGAAGACCAGAGTGACTGGTCGAAAGCTCTAGGTAAGAATAATTCTTTGAGTTGGAACACAAGTACACAGTGACTAATAAACTGGTGGACGTACCAAATACTAGTACCTAATACCAGCTCAGAAAAGAACAAGAAACAGTCATGCCTTCAAATATCAGAGTTACCAACCAAGAATTAAGGTGTTAAAAACGCTTACTTTTCGACAATTATCGTAGAGTGGAACTCGTTGCCACCAAGTACAGTTGGGGTATCATCACTAGAAAGCTCCTACAGTTATACATGCAAAGATTGGGAGTAACAGGTCGTTTGGTGTAATATACATGTAGCTAGCTGCCGCCGCGCTGTGTGCCTGCAGGGCAGTTATACCGGCTATACTGATACAGGTACAGATTTACTGATTTAGCCAAAAGTGTTGATGCCTGAAGACCAAACAACAAGCTATCTTATCTCTCCTCCTCACATACTCCTCACACAGGCTTGTTGATGGACCATATCTCCTGAGGTGTCAGGGTCTGACAGATGCTCTCCCAACATTTGCCTGCCAACCACAGGTTGTTTGGATGCAGTCAGCACCCAAGTGTAGAGGTGGTCCCCAAGGTAAACTGGGCTATCTTCTGGTGACCCCTGGTGACCCCAGGTCAGGGGTCGGTCACCTCATATGGCACCAGTTACCCACACAAATAAACATGCTGTCTTCTCCTTCACTTCAGGTTCCTCCCTTTTTACCTTATCTAAAAAATTATCAATTGCACTTCAGATTTTAGCTGTGATACTAGAAAACAA